GTTAGGATCCAGTTGGTTGTCTACAACCTTCTCAATATGGGCTAGGAGTTCTTTGTCATTTGTTGGCCGGTCAAAGACAAAACACTTCCTTCTTGGAAAGAAATGGCGGATGCACTCTCTAGGGAGATTAGATATTTGAGCTTTGGTGCGATTCAGTGAAAGATTAAAACAAACAAAAACAGGTATTACAGTAGGAGCAGCCTGAGAACAAGGGACCTAAAGATTTTTATACAGGGACTTTTGTATCTTTGCCAATATTCTCTCTGTGTAACTTCTGGTTATACCTCCTTTAGCATGGACATCCAAAAGCTTCTTTAACATCAAATTTGCCAATAATGCAACTTTAGGGAAAAATTTTGGAAGAGATAAATATGCTTAAAAAAAACAACTACAACAACCTATTGCTGTTATTAGACCTGAAAATGGTAGAGTACTGTCTATATTGTCAATATTAGCTACTGAATAAATAACAGAAACATGGGTCAAATGTATTTTTTGTCACCTTGATCCCATGGGGAAATGAAGCTGTGGATCAAAATGAAGAGCCCAAATAAGACTTAATGAAACAGTGTTGGAAATAGTGGAATGAGACATCTGATAAAGCTCGATTAAATAGAAAAGAAATAGCCTTATAATTACCCTGGGGTGTCCACCCAACTAACTAGGATGGGAGATAAATGGCACAGAGAGAATTCCTTTACTAAGTACCTGTGCAATAGGAGCCAAATGACCAAGCCAAACAATGAAGCATGTGCAATAGGAGCCAAAATATGGACCATAAGTGAGGGAGGTCACAAAACTGGAAAAATATGGGAGAAGGGCACAAGCCCCGAAAAAAACAGGAAAGAGATTGGATAGTTTTAAAGAAAGCCTGACCTTTCCCAAACCCAAATATATATGGGGAAGGTTCACAAATACCTCAGGGCAGTAGCTGCCCTCTAGCCTGCCAGCTCTCTGTCTCCCTGAGAATGTACTTTGCTTTTCACATTAATAAGCCTTGCCATTATCGCGTAAAACTCCTCCTACATAAGGGTCCCTCAAATTCCTTTCACACAACACCACAGAAGAACATATTTCCTCCAGTAACACTATTGTCCCATTGACTCTAATTTGTATGTTTCTTTAGACCACAAGGCTAACATAATTCAATATTAACCTTTATCTAACATACTAAAGGATATCTGGAAAACACAATTTTGCATTGAAAATCTTAGAAGCAAATTGCTTACAGATGAGGCAGGGTAAATGTGATCCTATATTTTTCTGAATAATAAAGCTTCCTGTAAATTTTCAGAGCTTTATGGGCTAAGGTGAATTGTTAAATTGTTCTAAACCCCCATAATATCTTTTGTATTCTCCTTGCAAATCTCATTCATTATAAAGAACATCAATTAAAGAAATAGTGTATTCTGTTTTTCTACCCAGTTAGTGATTCCTTTTGAATAGATGTTTTATTAGTATGGATACTGCAGAATTTGCTGTCAATGGTTGTAATTTTAGAGAGGAATTTATAATAACCCAAAAGTGTGATAAGTATACATGTGTCTTCATGGAGATAGAATAATTGTAGACCCATAATTCTATGTAGAATCAAACACAAATCCTGGAGAACACATCCTATAATATATTCAACAAATACCAGGCCCCACAAAATGTGAAGTGGAGACTCACGCTTCCCAGTGACTGTGATTCCCTCCCTGAGGGTCTTGATCTTCGCCTGGGTGAGGATGTAAGAACAGAAGTTCTTTGTTTGTTCCTTGAATTTAGGATCCAGTTGGTTGTCTACAACCTTCTCAATATGGGCTAGGAGTTCTTTGTCATTTGTTGGCCGGTCAAAGACAAAACACTTCCTTCTTGGAAAGAAATGGCGGATGCACTCTCTAGGGAGATTAGATATTTGAGCTTTGCGATTCAGGCCTGAAAGATTAAAACAAACAAAAACAGGTATTACAGTAGGAGCAGCCTGAGAACAAGGGACCTAAAGATTTTTATACAGGGACTTTTGTATCTTTGCCAATATTCTCTCTGTGTAACTTCTGGTTATACCTCCTTTAGCATGGACATCCAAAAGCTTCTTTAACATCAAATTTGCCAATAATGCAACTCACAGTCATGCCTTTCCAGCGCACAGGGAAAGGCAGCACTGAACACCAGTAACTTGACTCTCAGCAGGCACATGTTGGGACTCTGTTTCTCATCGCATGCACATGGGATCCCTGATTCTCAGAGCAAGCAAACTGACCTCCAGTGACTCCAATTCTTGGCACACATGCACACAGGGACCCTGATTCTCAGCGCAAGGTCGCACCAAGCGACAGAGACTCCAATACTCAACTCTTGGAGCGTGCATATGGGGACTCTGACTCCTGGTGCATGCAGGGCACTCTGATTTTTGGTGCATGACCACAGGGATTATTTTTTTCAGTGTGGCACATGCTGTGTGCCTGATTTTAGATGCATGCACGAGGCTGCACTGAGCACCAGTGACTGATTCTCAGCTCACATGGCACCCACTGACCCATGGCAGCCACAGATCTCAGTCTCTTTAAGGAAAATAGCTATATTCATTTGATTGCTTTTCTGTTCTGTCTAGCCCATTTCTCATTGTTTTTGAGAAACCATAAATAGAAACATGAAATCAGGAGTGAATAAATCAGAAGTGGATTTTCTTTCAAGGGTTCATCAGATACCTACATGCCCATGTTAATGTAACCCATTCAAATATTTTTATTATTTTGAAATTGTAGCATGGGTAAATATGAGTAAATTGAAAAAAAAGCAATGACACAGATAGAAATAATTAACATAATTAAAATGTCTATAATACCTATTATGAATCTATAGATTCAACACAATCCCTATCAAAATAACAATGGTGTTTTTCACATCGGTACAATAAATAATCCAAAAATGTATATGAAACCATAACAGACACTG